TTGTTGATGCTATTATCAAGAAGTGGAAAGAACATCATTTTTTACCACAAATCAGACACAACTAGTTGATCCCTGCAAGATTACAGACAGAGGATGGAAAATAATTATATGAAGAGCTGGTCAAGGGCTACTTGTAGAAAGCTTTAGAAAGATTAGCAATTAGCAGGTTACTTATTTTTTCAACGAAAACAAATAGTTATTCAATCAACCACCATACAAGACTGCTGTAGAAAAGGCATGTTGAATAAAATAATAAATAAAAATATTCTACATAAAATAAGTGGCTGCATCATTCATTCATTCCCTTTAAAGTGATTGACCTATTACAATAGAAGTCCATCCAATTGGTGTTTGTAGTCTCACATTGAATGGAATGGAAATCACCTGAGTTCAGTGAGTGTGTCTCAAAGAATTGTCATATAAAGACAACTCTGTCTGGAAAGTCCAGACATGTGGGAGACTCCATGGTGAAGTGGACAAAAGCTCTTTGGAAAATGAAACATTGAGCAGCTGCAGAGTGAAAGAAAATGCAGACACTCAATTTATTTTCCTGTTTTTATTTTGCAGGTTTTAGAGGCAAAGGCCAATGAACCTAAAATCGTCATGACTTTGTTGGAATCTGGATACTTGCTGGTGCTGCAAGGGCAAGAAAACTTGGTAAGATGCTATTGCGATGTGGTTGAATATTGCAATGATGATTACAGTTGCAATTATGGTGCATTATGAGTACTCTTGTCTTTTCCTATCATCAGAGTGTCCCTAAATCAATCTCCTTAAGTTTTACCATCTTGATTACCAAAGCTTACTACATTTATTTTGGTTTACATTTAAAAGTATTTTTATAATTATTAATAATATTTCAGTAAGGAAAACAATTAAATTACTATCAAAGCATTTCTGAGTCTGGATAAAATACTTCGCAAGAAGCTGGAAAGTCTAACACAGTCTATGTAGTAGAACAATGACAAATTGTACTGATTTTAAAGCAGTTTAATGGGCTAAGCAAGTGCTGTATTATGTTGTTTGTTATGTGATAACTGATTGGAAGAGCTCATACACTTGGTTGCACCTTGTGCTGCTTGAAGGAAATATTGCTTCAATATTTTTTATTTTTTTTCATGTTTTAAATGTTTTGGCATGGCTAGAACCCTTAGCAAGTAAAATGTTTCACTTTGACTATCAGTGTCACTGTTTTTGCCTGAATGTTAACTGTTTTGAAAATGTAGAGTTTGAGTTGACAACTGCATGACAGCAATAAAGAAAAACTGCAACAGTTTAAATTCTGAGTTGGTTATTGATATTAAGGTATACACATGCATTAGTATGTAAACTGAAAATGTCTCTTTTCAGGAAATCCCATGCCCTTAGCATTTTAGTCTAACATTATAGCTGTGATCCAAGCTTGAAACAGTTGAAACTCCAGACATTGTATTGCACATTTGCATCACACTAGCCCAAAGCTGTAGGGAATTAAGGCTGCAGCTTGTGAATGACAAAGTCTGACTTCATCTTTTTAAATAAAGCCTGAAAACAAAGTGCAAAATTTTGCTCCACCCGTTCCATGGCACTGGACATAAATATTAATCTGTTTTCAGATCAGAGGGTCTGATGAAGGCCGAATAAAATATTCTGCTGAAGAGTCTGACATTTCTGATCAAATCTGATGGGATTTGACTGCATTGTTTCGGAGGAGCCAAGCCAAATATTCTTGGGTTCAAGAATGTTACAGAAAAAAAAAAAAATCATAGTTTTTTGTCACAAATACACATAAGTTATAAACCTTAATAATGTTTTACGATTTCACACTTATTGTCTTTGCAACTTTAGAAGTCCATGCCACACTAAAGCTGAATAAAAACTGATAAGAAGCAAAAAGGAAAAAAAAAATCTATGATAACCATGCAATTTTCTATATACACATCTTTCCATTGTTTTTGTAAAAGTGGAAAGATGTGTGGTTTGTCCTGGGCAACAAACCATTTTTGTCACCCAGGACAAAATAAAAGGTTTCCTCTGACCTGCAGACTGCAGTTTCAGGTAGCTCTCTGTCTCTGGTTAATAATGTTCTGTGAGGAGACATGGCTATCTTGCTGTGCTAGGTTGACAAGTCAGACATTTATTCAGGTCAGACAGTAGAGAACATTCACTAAGGAGCATTCACTGACTGCTCTATTACAGACTCCTGCAGTTTGTGAAGGAAGTTTTCATTGAAAAAAGTTAAGCCTTAAAAACCCCAAAGAAGATCTCAAAGGATCCACATCATATTGGCTTTTGAAATGACAGTTAGTCATAAGAGATTTGAATATTCAGTTTTAAATGTGAATATTGCTTAGTGATAAAATGTCATCGAAGTCTGATTGACTAGTTGTGTGGAATTGTGGTTATTAGGTTAAATGTGAAGGAACCATTCAGGCAAAAGGTTCCCAAAATGTTGAACATTATGTTCCCTTTGGCAGTTTTTAAAATGTGTTTTCTGTTAAATCATTAGTGAAGTGCAACGCTCTGGGTCCAGTGCAGTGCAGTTGTTTAGGAAAGAAATTAACTAACTGCTTCTACTTTAAAACTAACCACGGCAAAGCACATTTAGCAGACAGACTGTAAAGCTATTGTTTTTCTTGCTGAACCCCTGGAGATAAATGACTAGATCAAAATATGAAGCTTTGAAGTTACTGAGTAAACAGAGACCCCTGCAGACAGTTTTGGGAAACATTTAATTTTAGCCATTGTCTCTTTTGCTCTTGGGTTCTTATTTAAAACATATATATTAATTTGATAGTACAAATCAACTTTTTTTCCAGGTTAGTAAAGATGTTTCATTTCTTTTCATTTTTCAGGCCACAATCCCTTTGCATGACGGCTCCAACTCTCTTAAAGCGCAGCACAAATCTGATAACCTGATGATCCGATTTACTGTGAAGGTAAGCAGCAGACTATTAATGTTTTCATTTAGTGCAATCCATTCCAAACTTTAAACAATGCATTGACTAATTATTACAAAATCAAAAAGATATTATTGATATTACTATACAATACACAAGCTTTGAATTGTTATTTATGAATTAATTTTACTGATTAGTGAAACAAAACATACAAACCTCAGATGTTTTCATTGGCATGACTGGTTGACAGAGACAGACGGTGTGCAAATCTTTTGGACGTGTGCAGGGGGAGAGCCGCATGATAAGGATGCAGTTTGATGGCAGCGGCACAGCAGAGGCCGTAAATCAGTGTTCAAGGGCTGTGGAAAAGTTGTCGGCATACGTTGCTGTCACCTCTCTGGAAGTTGCTGCGACACATCCAAATCAGCCCCCCACTGTGGTCCCACCAGCTGCACAGGTTGCTAAGATGTCCTCTCAGCAAACACAATGTATTTTTTTCAACGCTAACCAGACTGTTTTTCAAACTGTTAGTCTGTTAAGCCATTCACGTCCCAAAACTAAGCAAAATACACTCGTGTTAAGTTTTGGGTTAGAGTTTAGAACATGGATAAAATATTCACACTACTTAGATTGTAATAATAGATTAATCCGATTTGTTTTGGTTGTGAAATAGGCTTTTTGTAAACCATAATTGAAGAACCTCACCACAGTGTTTGAAAGGATTTTGACATCAACAGTACAGTAGCAGTAAGTCCTCGCTAGGTGGTGCTATTTACTATATTGTCTTTTTTGTGGGGCTGATAGGCCATTTAAATCTGTAAGAATCATTAAGTAATTCCAGATTTTGTATGGGATTAAGTAAAGGCTTACCATGAAAACATAAATTTAGATAGGAAAATTTAATAATAATAGGGTTAGACTGACTAAAAATTACTCAAAAATTTTCCAGTCTAATATTAGATTATAAAATATAAATCACCCCATATTAAAAATTCAGAGATAACTGTAAGAATGAAATAGTTATGTTCTTGAATACACTTTTGAGTAGCATTAAAAATTTGCTAACTACAATTTGGCTTCAAAGTAAAACATGCAGAACTTCTGTGCTTTAAGTCATTAAACATGAAGGATTAGGAAAGAAATGGAGTCCGCCATGGTGCTCAAGTTGACCTTTAGGAGACGTATGCAATGCAGAAGTTCGCAGAGAAGATGAAAGGACTTTGAGAGGTGGAAAATTTTCAATTAGTAATGAGGTCATTGATTGGTCTCCCTACTCTGTGGTGTCACGCCGCATCTGTCAAATCTTTATTTTTTCCTTCCTCACTTTCTCTGTCATCTTCTGGCAGCAGGCATGTCAGAGAAAGAATGGGCAGCCTGAGCCTGAAGCTGTCCACGGCTCTGTGTCCATCAAGCGTCTTACCGAGGTATTAAATGTTGAAACTCTGACACATTAATCTGCAAATCATCTAAAATTAACTGGTGCTACATTTGCTATAAATAGCCTTTTAAATCTGTAGTCTTGTAATCATATCCTTCCTATAAGGCTCTCAGCTCTCATCAACACTCCCAGAAATACATGCATGGATCAATAAATTAAGATTGATACATTAATTATGTTTCAGTAATTAAACTGAAAGAGTGAAACTCATGAATAGAGTCATTATACACAGAAATATATTATGCAGGTTTTTGTTTCTGTTATTTTTGATGATTATGGCTTACAACAAATTAATTATGGTGGAGTGAGGTGTTGGGCCGTTTGAGATTCAATTCCCGACTGTGGAATCCTTCTTTCTTTCTTGTCTGAATACTGTGAATGAAGGCTACTACCGGCAAAGCATCTCTCCATTAATTTTCTTAGATACAGCACTCTATGAACAACCTATGTCTCTAGCACTGACATTTTGTGGCTTACCTTCATTGTGAAATGTGTCAGCAACTGTCTGCTGCTGGGCAGCTGTCAAGTGAGAAGTCTTTCCTATTGCTCTGTAGGGCATAACAACTATTGTTATTGTGCCTTCAATAATCACTTGTATAATGAATCTATATATGAGTTTTCACTGAAATAAATTAACTTTGTGGAAATATTCAAAAGTCTTTTACATATAGCTGCATGTCTATCAGTGAGATTCTAACCATTAGATTGACTGCAGTTTTTCTCCTTGCATCCCACAGCACTTCCTGGGAGAGACTGCACTGGCTCTCCCTAACATATACAGTCCCTGTTCTTTGGCATCAGGTGACTTGGAACCCCTCCTGCGGGTCTGCCTCCTGGATCCCAGCTTCCCTGCGTTTGTAGAGAAGGTACAGGAGGAGCTGGAGAAACTGCAAGAAGAGTGAAGAAAAATCTCACCGCCCGCTGAAGGCAGAAAGTTCAAGTCAGTGCCATTATGTTATGTTGTAAACTTTGTGTAGGCAGTGTTCAGCTTAGTTGGCCATCAGTGAATCTAAAATCTTATCTCACAGTAATTGTTATATAACACAGATGATGCTCTCGATTTACTTAAATATTTGAGATCTTGGAGAAAAAAAAAAAGAAACATGGCATGGTTTTTGACATTGTTTTTATTCAGAAAAAAAAAAATGTTGGTCTCACTCATATGTTTGATCGTGGCTATATGCTCTGGTCCCTCAGTTCACATCCCGAATCCAGGTCCTTTCCCACCGCAACACACATGGATACATTGTATTGAAAGAGGAGTCATGCAGCTACAGCAGTGAATCTATGCCAGCTTTCAAGTGATCCCACAAGATTAAAGCTTCACTGAGTAAAACAAACTGCCCTCCATATACCTATTTAAGAATACATATTGCATAGGATTATAGCCATGCTATACAGTTAAAGAGAGAAAAATAGAAAGTAAAAATCAATGAATTGAAATTGAGAATTATAAAAAAAATATTTTTTTTTTACATATTTCCTATCATTTGAACACTCATACTTCAACATATACAAGACACCTAAGTTACTCTGGAAAGAAAATAGAAATAATACAGATATCCTTTTCGTTAAGATAGTTAAACACACAGTAGTCATTTTCTGTAAGCACTCTCAATTAAATTTAAATACTGCCTGTCATTGAAGCCCTTGCTTCACAATAAAAGTTCTGTTAAAAGTAGATTTTCTTCTCACAAATTAAATATTTTAATGACAATGATATGCTGTACAAATTGTTGATAAAAAGTATATATATATATATATATATATATATATATATATATATATATATATATATATATATATATGATGACTCCATAAAAAACAGGTAGATTGGATGCAGAAAAGCCACACGAGGGATAACAACAGAAAATGTCTATTCTGAGTATCCTATTGCGTTATTATCTTGCATGCATTGTACATGATATGTAATACAAAAGGGATCACCTCAGTTGAGGATATGTTAAAATTAATAAAGGAGACATCAACAGCACATTGGAAATGTGTACACCTTTGTGGCGTGTTAGTCATTATTCATCATCCTGAAATTGCCATCTAAGACTGGATAAGGCATGCTTAAGACAGCCATTACAGTAAGTTCTTATTGTTGCCAGTGTTGTGCTGATATTGTTTCTCATAGAATGAGACAGGATATGGGTTATTCCACACTGCCTGGAGTTTTGTCAACCTCTGATACTTTCATGTAGTCAAAAAAAAATGCAGTTTATCCATCTCATCTGTGGAGAGAAAGTAGAGAGAAGACTTGAATATGAGTTATCCTCTCAGTACGTTCTGCATTTATTCCCCCTCCCCACCATCTCTTACAACACAGTCTTACTTGAGTAAATTGCTTATTTTGTATTCCTCTGGCGTATGTTTTTGTCCTTGTGGTTGTTTGTTGAGTTTGTTTTCCTAGGATAAAAGCAGATAGATCACAGTGACGTAGCAGTAATAAATCACAGATCATACATTGCCCACTCCTTTTAAACGATGTCTAATGCACAGTATTACAAGTATTTATTTACTTACGCTGCTCCGACTGGTTCATCGTCTTTGACGTGGGAAAAAACAAGACAAAAACACAAATAGAGGTCAAATGATAGAAAGGAATACAACAGAAGCAGAATATACGTTTACTGCTGATTTTGATCCATTTTTGTTTTGTTTTGTTTGGGGTTTTTTTTTCAGACGGAGTGTTTTGAGGTTTGTCCATTTTCAGAAGTTTGGTAAATCCAGAGCAGTGATTTTGGTGGTTTTGTGCATTACATTCTTACAAAGGTGAGTTTACAGTATTTGCTACTGAAGCAAATACTGTAAACAAATTCATAAATGTCTATAAAATCAGTTTTTAAGCCAAACATTATAAACTTAACCTTACATAACTCTCATGGGTTTCTTGTTTATTTCAAATAAAGGCTGTGTAGGAGTGCTACAGATGGCTCATTTAAAGCCATCTTTTAATTACAATTAGCAGTTTTAAATAGACTTGGATGAGGCATGATAGATGTTGCTAGTTTGCAATTACTTTGCATACTATAAAGCAATAATATAGTGTAACAGACATTAAATATTAGTCTTTGTGGTAATAGGGAAGTAGCATAGGTGCCATTGTTACAGTGTTGCAGAAAAACAAACAAAGCTGGTGCTGAAAGTTGCTGGTGGTAGAAAAAGAATGGTTTCACACCCCTCAGCCTTGGGGTATGTAGGGTTGTTGGTGTTTTGCAAACAAATGAAATGTGTCAGCAGGTACAAGAAGTAACCAGTCACAGTAAGATATTTTCCATGCAGTTATTAGTCAGGGATAAGCAGCATTAGCAGCATTCCATGGCATTAAAATGGAGCAGATTATGGCAGTTATAATGTTAGACCAAAAAAAGAAAAAAAATGGTTCTGTCAAGAGGAGAAAAAATCTGTCGGCTTATGCAGTTTTATCACACTTCATATGTATACAACACAAATTTACTGTTATGCCTTTGCAAGCACACTAACAGCTTTTTGCTGTGTGATTTTAGTGGTTCAACAAAAGATCTGTGAAACATCAATTGTGATTTCACTTTTACAAATAAAACATTTTGGTGTCTCTCTTTATATAACGTTTGCAGTTTAATAAGTTCATCACACGGCAAAAATAGTCATTTTAGCAGCAGGTACAGAGATGTCAGCCTTTGCATCAAAGCCTTTGGTTGTGGAGTTAAAAAGTGTTCCAATGCAGCTAAGCCATCAAGAGACTCGAAATTATAACGCACGCAGACAGGGGCCAAAACCTCTGGGAACAGTGGATGCTAAAAGGAGATTTGAGAAAGGCTGTGAGCTGGGATTCATCCTGATTTGAATGACATAAACATGGCAAATATAATCTACCTTAATCGCTTCAATTTTTTGGTTGACCAAAAACTGTGCACAGAGCTTATGCAGGCTAACCCCTTGTATATACATATATGTATATATATTTTCCTCTTGCAGACTTTTTGCTCTTTCTCACCCGTGAATGTTTTGTATCTTCAAATAAATTTTAATAAAAGACAAAAATAAACACAAGACTGGTTTTACATAAGAAAAAAATCTATCCACCAATTAAGACCTGTATAATCTAAAAGTGGCCTAAACTTAAACTTTAACAATATTTAGAGATCAATGCATTGTTTTGTCTTGTTTCCATCATCCTGTGTGTGTTTGGCTGAGTGGGCCCCTGCCACTGGTTGAGCAGGGACCAGGCAGAGAGAGGTGGTGCAGGAGAGGAAGTCATGCTGATAAAGCTGTTTTAGGAACTCTCCACAATGGGCTGCAGCTACAGTTTGTTTAAAAAATGGATTTTTGTGGCTTTCTGCATCTTCTTGAAAAAGTTTTTGTGCTGAGTCAGCAAGACGAAGTGAGTTTGCTGCGGATCGGGTTGGCTTGCAGCTTCAGTAAGAAAAACAGAGACCTAGGTATCTGATAACAGATAGAGGGAACACTGCCAAGAAAAAAACCCAGCAGTCCCCAAAATATAGTTCAATATTATTATGTCCTAAACAGATGTATTTGCTGTAACAGATGTATTTGCTGTAAAACTAGGGAATGGATATGTTTTTCAGTGTACTACTTGAAAGCTGATCTAAGTCCAAACTATAGAGAGTGCATTAGAAATATTTCAGAAATGAAAGTGTACTTTACTCTTACTTACGTCACTTTAAAAATTTATTCTGCCTTTTCATTTTACTGTTTTCTTGTTCATTTTCTTGTAGCCTCTGATAGGAATGCATATCAGTCCTGTATGCTTGTCTGAAAGGTTCTGTTCTATTATTATTATTACTATTATTTTTCTTTGGCTTGGTGTACACATTCCACTTAGAAGCATTTTCACATTTAAAATCTGGGAAATACCTTGTATACCTTATATGTTTTTTTTATTCATCTAAAATTTTAATTGCATATTGCATAATAAAAAATGCATGGCTATTTTATGAATAAAAACATGGATTATCAAAACATTTATATCTTATATTACATCTACATTAAGGAAATGGATCAGAATATCATTGGTTCATTTTCATGGAAGTAAAAATGTTTCAAATCAAAGCAATATATCATCCAAGATAAAAAGGATTGTAAATGGGCTGTAGGCTGGTTTAAAAACATACAAACTGACAACAGATCTTCATAGCCATGCAGGATCTCTCACTTACCACCCATTTAGAATATGGTTCCATATGGAAGGAAGGGGAAAGGGGAAAAGAATAGTAACCATTTAAGTTAAAAAATTGATATTCTGGCAATATTCTGTACGTCTCGTAACTGCTGCTAGCTTGTATGACTAGCCAACTCTTTCCAGACCGAGCTTTGTCTAATTTCCAAGTGTGAATACATAAAGGTCACATTTGTATGCATCTAAACACGTGACCCAAAACAAAAAGGAGAAATAACTACTGAGTTATTTAATTCCCGTTGGTCTCTCCAGGTCTCCTCAAACAACAGAATCAACTTTGGGGTTCAAAGTTTGCTGCATAAAGCATGATGGTTTCTTCACCATCATGCTATTTGTGTCTGCACATATTAAAGTAAATAAAAAATAAATTATATATATATATATATATATATATATATATATATATATATATATATATATATATATATGAATTTCCTAATCTGCTGAGAAAACATCTACAGATTTACTGCCAAAAAGCATAGATTTTCTCATAAAGTTTGTTTTCACAAACTTGCTTCATCCCAAAATAACTTTTAACCAGGGTAAATGATCGTGACAGACTTCCTTTAGATTATTACTCATAGTTGCTTTCCAACTGAAGATTTTCTTACCATCAATAATGTCATCTGGCCTCTTGCGTTTCTCATACACAACGATGATGACTACGAGGATGACAATTTCTGCGAGCACTCCCAGAAAAGGCCAAAGCGGCGCAAGATGGCTGCGCACTCGTAGTATCGTGGTCTCCGCAGTGTTCCCAATAACATTGGTTGCGTTGCATTCATATATTCCAGGATCCGTGGTTATATCTAGGTTCAGTATGTTGATCTCTGTGTAGTTGTCTCTGTTTGTGATGAAGAAGCGTCCTGTGGAGTTGTCAATATCCTGAAAAACAGT